CTTTGAGTTCTCGTCAACTTCATGGCACCTAACAGCAGACACAACCCGAAGGAGCCCTGGGGGCGTAGTCCACGTGGGACTGCACCGTTAACCCAAAGACCATGCCTCTCTGGTAGTTTGGACACACTGTTGACTATGAGGGAGAAAGATGGACAATCTCCTCTAATGTGTTTCCAGCCTTGGAAGCCCAATGGAGGATCAGCTGTGAGTTGTGATTTGATGGCAGTGCGTTTGAGTGAAACACAGGAGGGTGGCTGTGAAAAGGAAATGAAATCATGCAAATCAAACTCTTGGCCCAGAATTAGCCATCAGCCAGTCCACAATTCTTTTGATTAATCACTGAAATCTTGGGGAAGCCCTGTTTTCTAGTGAGGCCAAAGGGGGAAGGAAAACAGAAAGGAAAAGGCCAGAGGAAGGAAAGCTGAAATGAAGAGAAAACACAAAGGGAAGAAAGGATATGGAAAAGAAAGACAAAGAGTAAACAGCAGATCCTGATGAGAAGCGCTTAATGGCTGTCAAAATACATCTTGAGAGAGAACTGGGATAAGGGTGGGGGGAACTCAAAGGGTGAGGCTTAGTTTTATTTTCTGCCAAGCTTCATCCATCTGGCTCTGCTGGCTTGCCTTCCACATGGCTCCTCTAGAAGCCCCGTGGTACGTTTCAGACCAGGGAGCCAGACCATCTCCACCTCATTCTTGCCTTGTGTACTCAGCGCAGGCAGACGAGAGATACACATGCTCTTCTGGGGTGTACAGTTCCTCTGAGACTAATAGATGAGACAGGTCTGTCAAGTGAATCGGCAGTGGCCACAGGCTGACATAATCCAATTGCCTTTTGGCTGACAGCTCATGCGGAGAAAAACACGCTCGGATCCAGACAAAGGTAAATATAGCTTAAACCCCACCACGAAATTCCGTCCTTCCATTATCAGCTTCTGTTCCCACTGTCAGCAAGGTGGCAGCAACAATGGGCTCAAACCTTGTAACCATTGTGAGGAGAGAGACTAACACCAAGTCCCAGTCTAGGATGAGCAGAAATGTCAGAAACATGGTACCTACTGTTTTTATGCCTTTAAACTTTTGGAGAAGGTACTGAATATCCCAAGGACTGCTGAAAGAACAAATAGATATGTCTTGGAGAGGGTGCAGCCAGAGTGCTCCTCAGAGGCAAAGATGACAAGGCTTTGTCTCATATACTTTGGGCATGTTGCCAGGAGAGACTGCTCCAGGGAGAGGGACACTATGCTCGGAGAGGTGGGGGGATGGCAAAGGAGAGGAAGATCCTCAACCATGTGATTGCAGCAATGGGCTTGAAGGTGTCAGATTGTGAGGATGGCACAGGATAGGCCAGGGTTCAGATTGGTTACTCAATGACACCTAACAACAACAACTACCACCACCAACTATTTTCAGTGTAGTAACTTAGTTGTTTCTAGTGGGAAAATGTTCCAAGGGTAGAACAACTCAGATTATTTAAATTTTATTTCTAGGACTTAAAAAAATAAGCAAAGAGAATTCTGTCTTTTTTCAGATTTATTTAATAGCAAATATAGTAGTGGAACATGTTATGGGTGAACACAGGAAACGAACATAAAACTAAATAAGTTATAGGAGATCCGGAAAAACAAGGCCAATGTTTAACTATATGATTTGTTTGTTGGTTTTTTCTTTATGAGAATAGCTAATCTGAAGCCACTGATAAAGCTGTTTGAATTCTTACCCATTCCCACCCCCATAACCTGAGCAAAAACTGCAGCTCTAAGATGGACAGGCCCATTTTCAAAATGATCTCTACCAGTGGCCCATGACAAACTGTCATTTAAGAAACCGACCTGAAGACTGGTCCGAAGATGTGGGTGCAGTTGCATACATAAGAGGAAGATCAAAGTACAGGTTTTACATAATGGAAATTGAGCTTGACTCCACAGAAAAATCGCTTTTATTAAAATGACATACCACTTCATGCCATATATTATATGATCCACCCCAGTGCTTCAGCAGACATTCCAAATATATATTTGTGCTCAGATCTGTGCTCAGTTGTTTTCCTGAGCCTTGGCGTTCTGGACCTCTTGAATGGCTTAATCATTGTCTGCCTGCCTTGTTTTCTAACCCAAGCTCAACATGGCCAGTCTGTGCAGACAGGTGTCCTCTGAGTTTGCTGAGCACCTTGGGGCAACTGGCTGCTAAAATAATCACAGGAAAACTCTCATTTCTGGACTTCAGCCTCTACTCTGTATTTGGCACTTTCCTTTGGCCTGCCCAAGGCACGTGCTCGCTTCTCTCATTCCCCTTCAGCTCTGCAGCTGATAGCTGTGGGGTTCAAAGCAGCGATGGCAATGCAGTCTGCTTCTGCCAGGGTCTCGTAGTTGCAGTACTCATTTAGACATGAGCTTACTATACATACAGCCTGGCTTGGGTCTTGGGGGAAAAGCAGACACTTCTGTTCTCAGTGGGGCAGGATATTGAAGCGTAGGCTTCTGCGTCAAATTTAGGACTCAGTTCTCGCCCTTTATAAAGCCTCATCAATCAATGCCCATGAGCAGTTTTTCTTGAACACGTTTTGTTTTGAATTTGAAATGTGCTTTTTGATGCCTCTTATTTAATAAGCCACAGGCATGAGACCACATTCATTATTTAAACCAGAACTTACTTTGCACTTAATGCAAAAAAAAAAAAAGAAAAAAAGAAAAATCCAAACACCAAACTGACATGCTTTTTCAGGGTAATTGCAGAGAGCAGAAAAAAAAAACAACACAAAACCAACCAAACCCAATTAATGTAAATGATTACTAAAGGAAGATGGTTTCCAAAGTAAGTTTGCCAAATCATTCATTCAATAGCTGACAGATGTTTGCTAGATCAGGACCTTGAGGTTAGCTGGGTTCTGAAGCAAATAAGTGAAGCAATTGTTTAAAGGGGATGATGAAGTACATTGAAAGAAGGCAATAATGGGCGGGCAACTGCATATTGAGTGTACTCTGAAGAAATGTAATTCATGGACTTTGTACCTGCCTACCTTGATAATCTATCACTGATTACCTTTTGTTTTTATAAAAGCTTCCTTGATGACATATATATCTCAAATGTGGCAGTTATAAAGCCTGGGAATCTAATCATATGCCTGTGAAAATGGTTTATCTTTTCTATTTCCAATTGTGACCTACAGATCCACCTGAGGCTAAAAAAAATCTGCTGGGAACAGACTGTAAATCTAAACCCTTTCCTATATTCTGTGCATGAAAAACTAAAAGCATTCAGGGAGTTAAATGCCAACTTTCCATCAATTAATCATCCTTTGGACTTAATAACAGAATCATTCCAGGCGATCAAACTGCAGTTAAGGAGGGAGGGAATCTTTAATTGATTGTTCAGAGAATACCCCCCCCCCAAGATTGTAAATGAATCATTATTCCTGTTTTCTATTTAGCTGTCTCAGGACAGACACACTCGACAAGTGAAATGCTGGTAAGAAGTAAGATAATGGCAAAACATCCCTGCTTTGCCCGTATAGCATAAAGGCAGTCTACTTCATCAAGGAATTAAGACAAATGTGAATAAGACTTTCCTCACCTGCAAAGCTACAGGCTTCATTCGCCCTGTAGCGAGACTGGACAAGGCATTCTTTGACAGTGTCCGCAGAGCTGTTTAAGGGTCTCTGGAACAGGAGCCCCACATAGAACCCCCATATGGAATAAGCATGTACTTGGCAGTGGAGGTACCACTGACAACAAGCCCCTTCCAGCTGGAGTCTCTGGGTCGATAGGCCACACAGGTATTTTTATTGTCCTTTAGAAGCAATGACAGCCTTTGCCACTGGCAAGTATGGTCTGTGTAGTAACAGAACTCCATGGCTCAACAGTGCCTGTAAGCAGGTTTTTAAATTCAGTCCTAGGATTCTGCCATTCTTAGCCCAAGTTCTAATTTTCTATTTGAGTACTTCCAAGCTTTCCATTATGGCTTCACGTGCTTCTGGCCGTAACAAATCAACTTTAACATACTCTTCAACATCCTATTTGCATCTATTTTCATCCCATGTAGAATGTTTGGGATAAAAAACATTCAAAGGATGCAGAAAATACAACAAACTGACATTAAAAATGACCACTGCACCTTGTTCTACAAAATGTTCATGGTTTAGGAAATTGACAAGGAGCTCTGATGATGTAATGTGTTGTGTGTTGCACTGTTAATACAAGAGCTGGTGGTTCGAATCCACCAGGCCCTCCACAGGAGGAAGATGGGAAATCTCCTCCCAGTAAGATTTACAGCTTTGGAAACTCGCTGAAGGGTCGCCAGGAGGCAGAACTGACAGTAAAGCAGTATGTTAGGAAATTTATTGCTCTGTTGCAACATTTTAAGAATTATTGTATACTTTCCCCCACCTAGAATATATGACTCTACTGGGATGAGATAGTGTTCTTCTACTGTGAGCACACAATAGGTGCCCAATAAATGCTCCTTGAGTGGATAAATAATTACAAAGAGACCCTACTTTAACAACTAACTTCCTCTTTCACCACAGTAGGTAAAAATCTTTGTGTGGTGTTATCTTTTTTCTGACATTTATATAACAAGACAAATTGCAGCATATGAACCTGTTTAAAATAATACAATAGGAATGGGGGTGATAAAGATGAAAATAACAACGCCCCCCCAAACTAAGATCTGTTTATGGATTTTGAAACCTATCAGGCTTTGGCAGAAAAATGGAAATGAATATTTGTCAATGCATGTCATATGAAAGGAAAATTCTCAAGACAAGCTGAACAAATTTAAATTAACACAGAGGAAAAACACAATTACTGTTACAAACAGCCATATAGATAAAGAGAAGCGGAAATTCTCTTTACGCTTGCTGTTCATACTGTCCGTGCAAAATTGCTTGTAGTGTCCTCCAGTGGGGCTCAGGCACGGACCAAACGTCTTCTCAAATGGCATTCTGTGAAGCTGTGTGACCTGCCGTTGCCTCCATCCAGCCGGAGTCAGGAGTGGTCAGGGTCATGGCTGTGCTTTCAAACAACTGGTCTGGATATGTGAGACTTGCAGCACAGGCAGTAGCAGCTGGAAAGCATCCTGGATGTACGTTGTGCTATTGCAGCCCTGGTGAGAAGACAAGAATGTGGGTGATGGATCCAAGCTGGACAATTCTTTCAGTGTGACAATGCTCTTTCCTCCCTTAAACCTCATAATATTTGGTTAGATGCTTCTGGTCACATTCGTTGGAGCTCTGGTGGCCGAGAAGATAAGAAGTTGCACTGCCAAATCAAAGGCAGGAAGTTCAAATCCACCAGCTACTCTGCTGGAGAAAGATGGGCAATTTCCTCCCATGTGATTTACCACCTCTGAAAACCCACTGGAGGTTCAGCTGTGAGTGGGTTTTGACATGATGGCAATGAATTGAGTTGATCATGTTGATATTCAAAACAAATGTAAACACATTCCTTTGGATGGTGTTAATCAAGCTCTTAATTATCAATCTTATCAGAAGAAGTCACTGGAAATGAAGCAACGCATTTTCATAAATGTTTAGGGTTGTTGCTATTGTTATGTACCATCGAGTCACCTGTGACCCATAGCAACCCCATGTACAGCAACTCTGAAGCCTGGTCTGTCCTGAGCCAGTCTCACTGACTCCAACTCACCAACTCCCATTGCCCCAGTTACTGTATCAATCCATCTCATCTGGAGTCTTTCTCTCTTGCACTGTCACTCCACCCTTCGGAGCATGATGTCCTTCTCCAAGAACCAGTACAATAGTGTATATTGATATTGACATTTATATTTGTGACCCAAATATGACCAGGCTTAATCCATAGTACTGTTAACCCAAAGGCCACGGACCTCTAGCAGTTTCAATCTAGCAATGGCTCTGAGGGAGAGAGATGAGCAGTCTCCTTCCATTAAGATTTATAGCCTTAACAATTCAATGCAGGGTCATGGAACAGACTTGGTGACAGTGAGTTTTGATGACCAATTCCAGCTCTCAATACTACTGCTTTGAAATGACATGGAAGCTCTAATTTGTTCTAACCTATGTTGTTGCTGGAACCAACCCATAGCTGACCCTCCAGGGAGTTTTCAGAGGCAGTTAATTACATGAGAGGAGATTGCCCATCCTTCTCCCATGGAGCAGGTGGTAGATTCGAACCATGTGCCTTCAGGATTGAAGTGCAGCTTCTTGTCACTAGGCCACCAGAGCTCCCTTTCTAAACCTACAGATGAATAATAATATTAAAAATGTTATGTATGTGTGGAAAGGTGAGGGACAGTGCAGGAAAGGAAGACCCTGGATGAGATGGATTGATACAGTAACTGGGGCAATGGGGGTAGGTGTGTGGAGTCAGCGAGACCGGCTCAGGATAGGACAGGCTTCAGAGCTGTGGCACACAGGGTCACTAAGAGTCCAGGTGACTCGACAGCACATAACACCACAATGTACTATCAAGTTGGAACTGATACATAACTGACCTTCCACCTAACAACAACAACAACAATTGAGTCTATTCAGATTCAGAGTGATTCCCCACGAGGTTTCTGAGGTTATAAATCTTTACAGGAGACAGATCATCTTGCTCCTGTTGAGCGCTGGTAGATTCCAACTGCCAACCTTTGGGTCGACAATATGACACATGACATTCTAGGCCACCCGAGCACCTTCTGATCACTGACATGCTCATTGTGGTCAGGTCAGAACTGACTCACAGCTGACCTAGTGGGTTTCAGTGCCTGTAAACTGCATGGGAGAAAATTGTCCATCTGCTGTCTTTGCATCGGCAGCGCAACTCCTTGCCCAACAGGCCATCACAGCTGAGGCTGACTAGTCAATTTACCATTTTTGCCAATCTGGAGCTTTGCTGTGAGGTGTTGTTGGGTTAATTTTGGACTCACACCAATCCCCTGGATAGAGAATTGCCCCATAGGATTTTCTAAGCTCCAATCCAGATCTTTCTCCCATGGAGCCACTGTGAGGTTAGAACCAATAACCTTTTAAGAAGCAGTGGAGAACTCAACCATTGCACCATCAGGGCTCCATGTCTGGTACCTGTTGTTGTTCTTAGGTGCTGTCAAGTCGAGTATAACTCATAGCGACCATGTGGGCAAAAGGTCTGAAACCTGCTCTATCCTGCAAAATCCTCACACTTCCAACAAACAAGAGCCCACTGCAGCAGTGGGTCTTCCTCTCCTTCGCTGACCCTCCACCCTTCCCAGCGTCATGTCCCTCTCCAAGGAATAGCCCATCCTAGAAACATGTCCAAAGTATGTGAGGTGAAGCCTCATCATTCTTTCCTCCAAAGAACAAGAAGTCTGGTACTTAGAGGCAGCTAAACCAAAGCTTACTGCCAAAGGAGAGAAGTGGCTATTTTTATATCAAATCACATCCAGCAATAGCCCCTCATCACAGCCAATACTCAGAGTGTTAGATCTGGTGTCAGCATTGGCAGCAGAAATCTGTTTCTATGAGAGGAGGTGATGGAAATAACGTGCAAGTGCAGCGTTTCTCTTCATAATCAGGGCTCCTTGAGAATGAGGGATTGTTGCCTCACCGGAGGGTTTACAGCTGGATGAGCCACACAAATGTCCTAAAACGCGACTGCTGATGATAAGATTTAGAATTGCAATAACGCTGGCTGCTTGGGAGAAAGGCAAGAAGAAAATGTAGCTCTAGCTCTTGCTTTTATTCACAAGTGCTTTCTCTCCAGGGGCTACTTACCTCTAGCAATACACTGTTGATCATGGGGTTAAGGACCTCAGCCTTCTTGTTGCTCTGTGGAATCAAACGCATAAAATTACTGTCTATAGTGAAAGAGAGAAGACGCCAAAATGTTTGCTTGTAAGCCGGGCTTTGTTCCTGGAGCTTTAGGTCCACGGTCTCATTGCATTTCAAGAGGAACTCTTAAGGTCTCTGAAATCCTGTGCCATCAAAATTCCCAATGTAGAGAATGGTTGTTTAACCTCGAGTCAAAATGGACTTATAGCCACCCTCCAGGGGGGTTTCAGAGGCCGTAAATCACATGAGAGGAGGCAGCCTATCTTTCTCCCATGAAGCAGCTGGTGGCTGCAAATTGCATGCCTTTGGGTTGGGATTATGAAGGCTGAGTATCTGTCGTAAGGTTACACAGCCAGAAACATTAAGCTCAGAATTTTTGAACTGTTAAAATTGGCAACACCTTTAAAAAAACATTGCTCTAAAATATTATTTACCTTGATTGAAGAGGGCGGTGTGTATGCGTTCTCGTAAATTTTCCACCTGAGGCAAGTCCCTTATTTTTCTCTCCCTCAGGAGCTCTTAGGATAGGACAGTGTTCTGGTCTGTTGTCCACAAGGTCACTATGAGTCATACTCAATGACACCTAACAACAACAGCAACAACGACAACAACAATAACAGCAACTGGGAGCTTTGGAGGCACAGTCCACAGGGAGCCGCACTGCTACCCAAAGGCAGTGCTTCTCCGGCAGTTCTAATCCATCAGCAGCTCTTCATGAGGAAGATGGGCAATCTCCTCCCATGTGGTTAACAGCTTCCCAAATCCTAGTGCCAAGAAGCTGTGCTGCCATCTCAAAGGCATATGGTTCGAATCCACTAGCTGCTCCTCGGGAGAAGGATGGGCAGTCTCCTCCTCTGTGATTTACTGCCTCTGAAAACCCACTGGACGGTCAGCTATGGGTTAATTCCAACTCGACGGCACACAACAGTAACAACAACAACTCCATTAGAGGGTCAGCATGAGTCAGTTCCATCTCAATGAGTTTGGGTTCTTTGAGTTCCAGATTTGGTTTATAATCCCTCTGCCCATCTTCTTATTTTCTTTTTAAAGGCAAATACTTGGTTATAAGCTGCCTTTCTGATCAGCAGCAAAACCAAATAGGTTGTAGATTTCAGTGTGAAAAGTGCAAATATATATAAAGCCTATCTACAGACAGCTTTGGTGTAACGTCTTACCTCTCATTGCTGTCAAGTCAAAACTGATTAATAGCTGACCTTCCAGTCTTTTCTGAGCCCCTAAATCTCAGGGAGGTAACTGTCCACATTTCTCCTGCAGAGCACCTGGTGGATTAGAACTGCCAGAGGAACCGTCTCTTTCTTTTTTTTTTTTGGTGAGAAAAATTTGTATTTAGAATGAGCCAGCTGGACTCAGTTTAGATGATCCCAATTTTATTGGCAACATCCAAAGCATCATAATCAGGAGCAAGTCGAACATAGGCCTTCTTCTCTCCATCAGGTCTAATCAGAGTGTTGACCTTGGCCACATCAATGTCACAGAGCTTCTTTTACAGCTTGTTTAATTTGGTGTTTGTTGACCTTGACATCCACAATGAACACGAGTGTATTGTTATTTTCTATCTTCATGGTTGACTCAGTGGTCAGGGGAAACCTGATGATGGCATAGTGGTCAAGCTTGCTTCTCCTGGGGTCGCTCTTCCGGGGGTATTTGGGCTGCTTTCGGAGTCTCAGCATCTTAGGCCGCTGGAAGGTGGGTGACGTGTGGATCTTCTTTTTCTTGTGGCTGTGGATGCCCTCAGGACTGCCTTCTCGGCCTTTAATGCCTTTGCTTTGGCTTCAGTTTTGGGAGGGGCAGGGGATTCCTTCTTCGCTTTTGGCGCCGGCGCCATCTTTGTAGAAAGGGAGAGGCACCACCTTTTGTTAGTAGGGCAACTCCCTACAGACTGTGGCACCAGAGCTCCCCGGGTGTAAAACAGAGCTCCAAAAAGGGAAAGCTCGAATTAGTATCATTGACAGTGAAAACTGTGAGGGCAGGAACCTGAGAAGTTTGCCTTGTTTTTCCAAGTCTTAATGGATACTCTGCCTCTGACAGGGGCCAGGCTTATCCCTTTTAAATCACTTTTTGCAAGTGGTATATATTTACATTTTCATTCTTTGGTAAGAGCCTCACCCCAGCTCCAGCCTGGGCAGGTTTTATTTAGTCCACAGGGAGCTGCACCTCTCTGGTGGTCCACACCCACTGATAGCTCCTCACGAGAAAGATGGACAATCTCCCGTGCAATCTACAGCCTTGGAAACCCAGGGAGTTTCAGTTAGGAGTCACTTCCGACTTGACAGCGGTAAGTCAGTCAATTAACAGCCTTCTCCATTTTAAATATTAATCTGCCCTAGACTATTGCAATCATTAAAAGAACTGGAAAGGAGAACTGTCTTAATAAGCTGGCTTCCCTTACAGTATCTGGAAGGATTTATGGTAAACAAAAATCTATAAGTGAAATAGATCTTCACAGACAAGCTGGCTTTCACTAACATTACTCTGTTGGGGGTGAAGTAACCTTTCACTGAGGCAACCGCAAAGGAGGCTGGGTAGGGAGGTGGAGGAGATTAAAAACCTCTTTAAAAACCCAGTCATATTTTTTAAGTAGCCAGAAAATCCATTATAGCACTTGCCTTTATGTTTATTTGATTATCAATAAACTTCTAAGATATAATCAAAATGAGGGCAATAAAATGACATTGGTTTTCAGAATCAATGAGATGTGCAAGCAATTTCAGTGGAGTCTGGAGAGCAGTGTACACTCATTAACTTCATGTTATGAATAATGGCTGTTTGAGAGAACAGCCTTGATGCGAAGGATACATCACAGCCCGACAGCCAGGCTGCTGCTGTGGTAAGATGGCATTTCTTCCTAAACTTTATTCCCTTTTTTTCTTTCTTCAAAATGAGGTGTGTGCCCTGACTCTGAGCCTCTGGTGTCTGTCACTTGTATACCAATAGGAGGCACACCCATCTGTTTGCATCTTGATGTTGAGTATGTGCATCAGGACACCATCGTCACTTAAGATCTTATTAGGAATGCAGTCTCAGTTCTCATCCTGCTGTTGTTAGGCGCCATCAAGTCAAGTGCAATTCATAGTGACCTTATGAACAACAGAGCTCAGTCGTGCCCTTTCCTGCACTTATTCACCATCTCGAATATGCTCGTGCCCACTGTTGCTGTCACTGTGCCAATGCAGTGTGCTGGGGGTGGGGGATCTTCTTCTCTTTTATGGGCCCATTCTTGTCCTAGATCCACTGAATCAGAACCTGCATCTGAGCAACATCTTCAGAGGACACAGGTTGCCATGAAGAGGACACAAGAGCAGTTGGTGTCTTGTTCTATTTTACATAAGGACTTAATGAGTTGAAGTTGACTCAAAAGCAAACAACAAGGTGAGTCATTCGCACATTAAGGCTTGAAAAGTGCCACGTCAGAATGTAACATGTCAAAAGGAATGGTGAGTAATAGCAAGAATATCACTGTTATCGATTGAACGGTGGCTCCCATCCCCAAATGTGTGTTAGAATACTAACTCTACGCATTCCGGGCTCTAGTGGGTAAGGAGTTGTGTTCTTAATCCAAAGGCAGGTGGTTGGAATCCACCAGGTGCTCCGAGGGAGATAGATGGGCAATCTCCTCCTGTGGGATTTACAGCCTCTGAGAACTTACTGGAGGTTCAGCTATGAGTCGGTCCTGACTCGATGGCATAATATAACAACAACAACACCATACAATTGGATGCAATGTTATTTGGGAGTAGGGTTTTCTTTGTTTCCCAGGCCATATTAGTGTGAGGTGAATTCTGAGTTGATTCCTTTTTGGATTATAAATAGCAGCATATAGAGAGATTAGCAAGCACACAGGGGAAAGACAGATGTCACATGAAGTCATGAAGGGAATGAAGAACAGGGGCTGCAGCAGGTGACTGAGACAAGGACTTGCCCCACCGCCACCAACAGGAGGAGCCAGCCTTCCTCTAGTGCTGGTACCCTAATCCAGGCTTCCAGTGAATGGACTGTTGAAAAGAAACGCCTTACTTTTAAAGCTACCCATTAGTGGTAGTTCTGTAACAGCACCGCTAGGAAGCTGTGACAATTACCCACTACCACAGATACATGAATGCTTATTTTAAATTCCAGAAAACACACTGCATAACCCCCCCTTTGTTACGAGATAATCATGAAGAACCAAACATTTGGTTTGGCAGAGAATGGATGGGCAGTGAACTGGGGGTTAGGAAATCTACGATGGCCCACGTTAACAGCCCATCCTCGTCTCCGTCTCCTCACCTAGGGAATTGTGGGAGGAGTGAGGGGACGATCTGCTGGAGCCTTGGGAATCCAAGCCAATGAAGCCATCCCACCCTTCAAATCTAATGTTTACACCATAGTCCATGCTCTTTAGCCTAGGCAGCTCTGAGCATTTTGTCAAAGAGAGTCCCTCTCCCCATCATTCAGTGCATACAGTGAAAAATCTAATGAAAGTCTGGAATTTAGATAAGCATTAATACCACTGTTTTACAAAACGGGAGAAACAAATCTGATTCCTTGGTGGTCACCTTTCAAGTCATTTAGAGATGTGTAGGGAGCTCTGGTGGCCTAGTGGAAGGAAACTGTGCTGCAATGCAGAAAGCATGCAGTTTGGGGCGACCAGCTGCTCCTCAGGACAAAGATGGGCAGTCTCCTCCTGTGCGATTAATAGCCTCTGAAAACCCACTGGAGGGTCATGTATGAGTCGGTTCCAACGCAATGGTATATAACAACAAAACAAACAATGGGAGACACACACAGGGGAGCTCTGATGGCCTAGTGGTAAGAAGCTGCATTGCAATGCCAAATACATGCAGTTCAAATCCACCAGCTGCTCTGTGGGAGAAGGATGGACAATCTCCTCCTGTGTTGTTAAACAGCCTCTGAAAACTCACTGGAGAGTCAACTATGGGTTGGTTCTGATGTGACGCCACACAACAATAATAGGAGCCACATAAGAAGTCCTGGTGGCATGTTGTTGTTGTTATGTGCCGTCGAGTCGTTTCTGACTCATAGCGACCCTATGCACAACAGCCCTAAACCCTGCTCTATCCTG